AATATTTAGTAATTCATCCTTAACGTAATTATTATCACACAAGTAAACGATATCGGTAGGGCTCCCGCACGATGGACCGACGATGACCTGGTTAAGGTTGCGAGAGTGCACTGGATGCGGGCGGCATAGGACCGAGTATTGTGGCAATCGAAGGGGAAGGCCTACGTCCCGCAGTGGATGAATTTATTCTGATGATGATGATGATGAAACGATATCAAAGTATATCATCACTATTTTGGCGAATTATACCAGAATCTTGCTTTTTATATGTATATTAATAACATAAGTTTCGTGAAATACCGAACATTATTTTGAAAGAGTCTCGTTAATTTGTTATTAACGCTAACAAATATTTAATCAAAGCATACAATGGAGAGCAACGTTTATTTTCACAGAATACACGACACAAGCGAGCCTCGTTAAGGATGCTGTTAGGTTATTTTTTATTGCCACTTGAATAAAACAAGAGATGAAAAACCGCGTCGCTGTAGGAAACACATAAATAATATTAATAAAGAGAATTGAATGAAAATTAAATGTTTTTGTAAATTATATGTTTGGAATAGCAACTAGACTACAATTTGTGATTAAAATTATATAATTTGACATCTTGAATATTTTCTAATTTTTGATCTTGTTCTTGGTCTTGAGTCTTGCAATAATATCTTTTAAATTACAATTGTGATTTTATGAACTGATGGACCACTGGATGGTCCATCAGTTAATAATCTCTTTTACTTTTTAAGCTTTCCAAGAATTGATATAAAAATTTTTCGAAGAAAGTTGCCATTTTAAAAAAGAAGTTCAATATAATTCAAGTGGCAATAAAAGTTGTAATACATGGTAACATCGACACACCTAAACACGAGGGTCGGCGCCGACTGCTGGCGCGCCACTGCAGGTCTAAAATGAAACACGCAGTCAGTTTCACAGACAGGGGAAAAGACAGGGGCACAAACAGGGTTACAGCCAGGGTACACAACCAACAATCGGTTGCCTATTCAAATGTTGGTTGATAGGATCACGACAATAGTCGAATGGATTCGAACCCACGATGCGATGTTCGTAAACCATTGGGATATTGACGCTTCGCTTTCGAATTTATTACACGAAGCAACAGGCAGCTATAATCAGGCAATTGATACAAACTTAAAAGTAAAAAAAAATAATTTTAATCGGAGAAACCATCATTCATCTCAGTAAAATGAAGCATGAAGTTTTTAACTTAACAATATTGTGCAACCAAAATTATGGTGACAAAGAAAAGAGCCAAAAAAATGTTTATTAAATTATAAACGATGTGAAAAGCTAAACTTAAAAATTCATGAACAAGACTCCAGAAATATCATGCCAACAGTCAGTGGATAGATTATAGAAATCGATTGATTACAAGAAGTTGTAGACGTCACGTCACACAAGTCAAAGTAATCTAAATATACAAAGGAACTTGCTAATTTCAGTAATTTCTTTGAGAAAAAGTTTATTTTCATTATAATATCATCACACCTCAATGAAGATTAAAATGCAAAAGAAATAAATGTATTTTATATAAACTTTTTCTCAAAATAGTTACTTTGGAAGTGAAATTTCCTGTTTATATCCGTACCAGGTGATTTTATCAAAGCTCCAAACTGGTACAAACAAACAAAATAACAGACACTACAAACAAATCTAAAGTATCAGATCATCGTATAGACGAAAGAAGTGAAAGGACAGAATCTAAACTACCAGGAGATCAGGAAATCGGAGTACAGTTAACTGAAGCTTTAACAGAACAGAACGACCTAATCGCACAGATTGGACAGAAGGGAGGCGACTACTTGGCCATTGGCGGCGTTGTAACGGTATTAACTTTGCTTCGCTTTCGTTCGGTTTGTCAACTGAGCATCTCGTCCAGCACGGAGTACGGAGTCGTCGCATGTGCAGGGTCGGCTGCGCTCGCGGCTGCTCGGCGCCTCTCCTATCCCTGCGTTAGAGATCATAGCTAGCGGCGCGGAGCACCATCGCGTGCTAACCTATTCCATTCCATTTTGCCTAGATCGCTAGATCTAGAAAATGACTGCAATGAATTATTTCAAAAAAACTAAGAGCACAAATAAATCAATATCAATGTTGGAGTATTTATTTTTGTAATTTTAAAGGTTTATAGTTAGTAGTGATTTTAAATAACATACATACTTGAACTGTGTTTAATTCTGGACCACGCCACTATAATCCCAGTTTTGTTACTTTATTGCTTTAAAACTATGTGCTATTGTTAAAATAACCTTTAATTAAAGTTATTCTTTTATTCAAGACTTATTTTACGTTAAACCATTTAAGAATTTTATTTTCAAACTTCGATTAAGTAAATTTAAAACCCGTTCAACTGAATAATGCAATTGTAGTGAAATATATAACTAAATAAAAAGCACATTGTTGCATGAATTATTAAACTAGTTTGAAATTAAAGTAGGGAAAATTAGATGATTAGCTTCGTGTGAAAGATAAAATAAAATATCTTACTCGAGTGCACGCTATTCTTAGGTTTAATTAGCAAATTAATTAATAGATAGCAAACATGAATTATACGGCTTTAGATTCCATTTTATAGAAAGTAAATAAGAAATAATAAACATCTCTGTAGAGGGTTAAAAAAATTTCTTCGTTTTCGTAGTAACGATGCTACGTCGTAGCAACAAAATAATATCATTTAAAATTTAGATGTAAATTTTCATTTAGTTTTGTTAGCTTTATGAAAATTGGACGTGGTTATATGTTGATACTAAATGTAGTAGTTTTGCATTTTCATTCATACACAAACTTTGCATATTTTAATAAAATAGAATGATAGTTTGTATAAAACTTTGTTCACATATAAAATAGAAAAGGGATTTAATCTGAGTGAAATATAACATTTGTTCTATATGTAGACTGTAGAAGGAGCGAAAGAGATGTTTTATGATCACGCGAATTGGAGATCGGTGGTCTCTGCCTACCCCTCAGGGTCACGGGCGAGAGTTATGTTGTTGTATTCGTTATGAAGGTAAAAACCTGGAGATGATGATGAGTATTATTGTGATAGACTATGTTATTATTGCTTATTGTAAACGAATTTTGCATGAATACATTTACTATTTCTGTTAAAAACCGAACCATAATAACTTTGAAGTTTTATTAGTTAATAATAAGTTTGAAGTGTGGTCGTAAAATTGTCTCTATGACTTCG